TATCCTGCTTTACTTGTCTCCTCTCCTGTTGTCTCCTCTGCTTTTTTTCCATTTTTCCTCCAATGTGTCTTTCTTTCCTTTCCTATTATTTCCTTTTTTCTTCCTTTCTCTCCTCTCATTTCCTCTCTCCTTCTCTTCTTCCTGGCTCAGTCTCTACTATCCTTACCTCCTTCCTACTTCCTTGCCTGTAATTGTCTTCTACCCTCTCCTGATTAAGTTTCCACCTTGCTTCCTCCTCTTCTCTCCTCTCCTGTTCCCTTCCCTCCTATTCTCTCGTTACCTACTCTCCTGTTTCCTTTCCTGTCCTCTCTCCGGCAGCAGACTGTGTATTCATTATTTAAAACAACAATATAAATGAATCAAAAATAGAATTGAAGAAAAATTGAAGGCAGAAAAAAGTGAAACTGCTAATTAAAGACAAATAAACAAATCAGGAAAACAAAGTAAAGTAAAGAAGCAGAAAAACCAGAGAAGAAGAAGCAGACGGAGCAGTTGAGTTAGTGTTTACTCTGCGGCCGCTAAATGAATTCAAGATGGCGTCTGGTCTCGCCAGGAGCCACAACATCAAAGAGTTAGACAGCCAGTGAAGGCAGCGCTCTCCCTCACCACTAATGACACGAGGAACTGTAGGGCCTTCACATGTATCTCAGAGCAGAGTGTGTGTGAGTGTGCTAACAACACATTGTGTGAGTAGTGTGTGTGTGTATATCAGCTGGTCAGAATTGAACATGTTCTGTCCATTCTATTAGATGGCCAACTCAACATTTAAGATACGTAATACATACAATTAAATTAAGTTCCATTACATTAAATACAAAATAAAAATAATATAGAAGAATATGTAATAAAATCTACAACGCACTTAACATGGTTTGGTTTAATAAAATATAATTGCTTTTCTGAGTTTGTATCTTCATGGTGCATTTCACATAATTGTACTAATTTGAGTTTTCTTTTCTTTCCCTTGAGCTCTCCATTAACCCCACTTTCAGTTATTTCACTTGGGAATATTTATTGTTCTGAACATGATAATCAGGCGGAATTGTTTTTTACATTCACTTAAATCCTTCAGCATGATTTACAGGAAGTATAGTAGTTGATCAAAGCTGCATTACAAAGTTATAATTTCTGTACTGGCATTATAAAAACCTTTAGAACTGTGTCCATCTCGTTCTTATTTGCCATTTTTCTGCCATGACCTCACAAGTCAGAGAAGGTGGGGGCAAAAGCAAACGCCAGGAGTCAGGCTGTGAGTAAATGGCAACACTGGGCTTTCTGGCTTCTTATTTGAGCATTTTAAGAACCAACAGAAAGATATTTTCAAAGACTGTTTCGACTCATCTGAACCTAAAACAAGCAAGGAGCAAAAACACACACTTTGCTATGACCTGGTCAATTTAGAGAGAACAAGCAGGACTTCTACTTAGAACCAGAATTCAAGTGTGTGGAGAGACATGATATAACAGTGTGGCCCTGTGTGTGTGTGTGTGTGTGTGTGTGTGTGTGTGTGTGTGTGTGTGTGTGTGTGTGTGTGTGTGTGTGTGTGTGTGTGTGTGTGTGTGTGTGTGTGTGTGTGTGTGTGTGTGTGTGTGTGTGTGTGTGTGTGTGTGTTGCAGCCTTTTATATCTCCTTTCCCAGGAAATTGAGTAGGCTGTTCTCATCACACACACACACACACACACACACACACACACACACACACACACACACACACACACACACACACACACACACACACACACACACACACACACACAGGATATATTCAGTGATGGAGAAATATGGAGGCTCATAGTGGACATAATGTGGCTTCATAATATCCCCCCTGACACAGGAAATAGCCAAAGGTCTGGGACTGAGTTAGTGCATGTGTGTGTGTGTGTGTGTGTCTGTCTGTGAGGAGAAATACCCATCAGAGGAAGGAAATAATGAATCGCACTGCAGCTTTTCAGAGAACTGAGGGATCAATAACTTTAAGTCATTTCAATATTGTAAGTCAAATTTATTATAAATCAAAGAAAAAGTTGAATTTTTTTCTTACGATTCAAACTTAATTTTCTGACATTGTTGCTTTTATATATAATACACAAAATAAATAAAAATAATACATGTATCTGCCCCTTTTGAATTTATAGAAAAAGCTATTATTATTCCAAATCTATTTTAAACGTTACATGTGTTCATGCAGATTCCCACCTCAATGTGTGTCAGTGTGTGTGTGTGTGTGTCTGTATGCTTTCCCCATCTGTGCAAGTGAGTAACAAGGCGGTGTGTGTCGACACACGTGAGAACCGTCACAAGTGTGTGTTCACGTAGTGTGTGTTCACGTAGTGTGTGTGATACGTGTGTGTGGGTGTGTAATTGTGTGCAGATTTTCAGGCCAGAGAACAAAAAAAAATCTCCACAGGTGACGGTTCTTTACGAGTCTCTTCCACACTCGTTTTATTAGCCTCCCATTTTCCTTTCAACCACCAGCACTTTTTTTAAATGCTTCTTCTGGCAAAGTCACCATTCCACCATCCCCCTTCTTCTTTTCACCAATATCCTTTGATTTAATTACTGCCACATGCTGCCGACTGCCAGCGATCGTTAGCGAGAGAACCGCCCCAACAGAGTCACTCCTGACACGCCGAACAGGCAAATACGCGGGAAAACACACACAAAAACAACACAGTGAGGACTGGTTATGAGCAAGCACAAAAAAAGAAGCACAAAAAGCTCCTTACAACTTGATCCTAATGTTCTTTATTTTAATTTACATCAACAAAACAAATGACTTAGGAACAGAAGTTGTGGGTCAACTAAATTAGCAACCAATGCTAAATGCAGCAAAACAACAATATCCAATATTTCGTTTTCTACTTCCTTCAAGATACAGTATGTATTCAGAATAGGGGTGTAACGGTATCCGTATTCGTCCCGTACCGTCACGGTTCGGACGTCACGGTTCGGCACATGCAGTCACACGGCGAATACGCCTTTTTTTACGAGTGGGAAAAAAGTCTGTCACTCAGGGCAATATTACACTATATATAATCCAGGGGGCGGTATTGCGCCTAAAAGCCAGCCGCCCGTAAATAACAAATGAAGAACAAGAACAAAACAAAACAAAACGAACACAAGAAGAAAAGTTAGTATCTATGGCGAGTTCACACAACACACAGGAGCTAGAAGACCCACCTGCTTCTTTTAAATCAGGTGTGTGGGAACATTTCGGGTTCCCTGTGGACTACAACAATGATGGGGTGCGAGTTGTGGATCGGACGAGGACGGTGTGTCGGCGTTGTTCGATAGCGGTGCGGTATGCTGGTACCTTTTTGTTTGACATCAGCCATTATCAATAATATGGCCATCTGAGTGTTACTGTTACTGTGGTTTGTTTTTAACTGTGTAATACAGTTAATGATTCAAAATGTTAGAGTTCCTTATTTTCATACCAAAACTTGCACTACTGTTAAAAATAAATAACAGCAAAAAAAATTATGCATTTGGGACTTTTTTTTGCTTTTCCTTGTTGTACCGAACCCGTACCGAACCGTGACCCCCAAACCGAGGTATGAACCGAACCGTGACTTCTGTGAACCGTTACACCCCTAATTCAGAAGATGAAATAGTTGTCGGTTATTTGGGATTTCTGCTTGAATATTGTTGTTTTTGAGCTCAAAGATATGGAAATTGGAGTTGACCCGAGCGTTACCTTCGAAACACACTCGTAAACACACAAATATGCAAGCACATTGAGAAATCTGGATCTAAAGATTTTTATACCCAAACAATCTTTTTATCCAATATGTCTTTTCCTATTGTTCTTGAAACTGAGGAGGACGAACACAAAATAATGTGTGTCCCAAAGGAGAGTTGTGTACTCTGTCCTTCTGCCACTTTCGTTGTGTTGTGATGTTTGAGGTCAAAGGTTTAAACCCCTGAAGCTGATGAAGATCCAGCGTATTGCAGACACAATGGAAAACCAGAGGCTGGGTTGATCACTAATTCGAACCTACACCATGCACTGAAAGCGACTGATAAATAAATAAAGAGAGTAAGAAAGATTGTTCTTTGTAGCAGGAGACAACAGGAAGTTAGACAAGAAGAAGAGAGGCGACAAGAGAAAACACCCGGCAGAGGTAAAGAGTTGGTGTTGAGCCAGTTGGCTGTCTGACAGCTCATTAAGTGCTTTATAAATAATGAATTGATGTAGTAATTAACAAGACTCTCAAACTTTCAGTGCGACAGAGAGAGAGAATATTTGTGTGGGAGCCCGTCAAAGATTCTCACACACACACACACACACACACACACACACACACACACACACACACACACACACACACACACACACACACTGTCCGACAAAATGAATCCACTGTATTTATGAAGATCGTGGAAATTCTACATTACCCGTTACTGTTTTGCTCAAGGGCGCTATAGACTTGGTTGCACACCAAAAGATTGACGGCAAGGTTCAAGTTGAAATTATTTTGAACTTTGAGTGGAGATGGAAAGGATAGAGAACGCTTCTATGTATCTGGCCTATTATTTGGATTTTTATTATTTTCTTTTGCCTTTAACAGTCCAAATATCAGGCGTTACATAATCCAGTTCCACCCTCATTTGAATCGCAAACAATGACTTACAGAGAACTGACCCTTGAACCCTGATCATGTCTTCCAATTTTTGAAAATCTAGCAAATCTAACAAAGTGAATCAGCCCATATTTGACTTTTCCTGTGTAGTTTACTGGGGATTACAAGGTCAATGTTTCTATAGGTGAAAAGTAATAGAAGTATCTGTTAGTGATTTGGATCATGTTATGGGTTCTTCCTTGGTCCATGCTACACTCTTCCACTAAGAAAATCCATTTTCCGTTAGCCTGCTCAAAAACAGACAAGGAAACCATCATGCCAAACTGAAAACATTATCTTCTTTGATGAGGTATTAAAACATCTACAGAAAGAAAATTGGTAATCCAGTGGGTCCACAATAAACAAAGCAATGCTTACTTAGCTGTTTGAGCAGTTCAACCAACGTCCTTTCCAGACTGATTGATTAGACCGATTTCAAAGGCATTCATTTAATCGTTCACATAAAAAAGTATTTTTGCCTTCATCTTGAGCCCTCGTGACCTCTTTGAGGACTACGACCCCCAGTTTGTGAGCCACTGTTCTAAGAACCGGAGCCAGGATTTATAACTACAAAGGCAAATAAATCCAAAGAAAAATCACCTGCTGGTATTCATCATGTGAAAAAGATGTAGAAGAAGAAGAAAATTCCCCAAAAAACCACAATGAGAGGCAGATAAGGAGAGCGGCGAGCATTATGATTGGTTGTTTGTTGCCACCATGACACATACACTCGTCACACACACAAATACAAACGTGTTCTCTCAGATGGCATGGTGGCAGCCGGCCCGACAGCCAATCAAAACACCCGTTGCAGGGCAAGCGGCCAATGAGACCTCTGCTCTCTGCGGCAGCCAAGCTGTCAGGGTGAGAACAAGAGTGTAGGAGGCGTGTGTGTGTGTGTGTCTGTAGTTGTGTGTAAGTGTGTATGAGTAAACTGCTCGCACACATCTTGAACGATTAAAAATGTTGGATAGATATTTAGAAATGTTTTTTTTAACTTTTCAAATAGCAAAACAATGATAGTTTTAAAAGATTATTTTTTGTCATTTCTGTTTTTATTTATCTGATTTAAAAATGACTCCTACATTTTGATCACAATATAATCTGTATAAATGAATGGTTAGGCAGTTATATATTTTTCCCTAAAAAATGTATGGACTTTTTCTGTTTGATCTTTTGCAACTTGGCAGTCGTCCACACTCAACCGGTTCTCCCAAATGAAGCTTCATAAATAAATAATCACTGTGTAAATAAATTAAACTGATGACACATACAGTCATGATGAAGGTCATGAGCCGAACACGTTAGCGTCACCTTGAATACACAGGGCATCCGGCCCGCTGAGCTGCAGTAAACAAGTAACTCTGCTGTAAAACACTGACAGATGGGGGGAAAGAGAAGACAAATAAGCCTTTGGAAGTTTATATTGTCAACAAGTCTGACTGTGTTGTGGTGAAATATGATGTTAGTAGGTAGATGGGTCTTGCGTGTATTCACCATATACCCCCTGGTCTAAGATGGCTGCCGTGGCATTTGATTCAGATTTGTAGGACTCAGAAAGTTGAAGCCGTACAACACGGCCGACGTCACCACAATGCTGGGTCGCAGGGACCCCGTTGCTAAGGCAACACGCCGGCAGGCACCTAAACCGAGCCAAAAGCTAAGATGGCTGCCGTGCCATGTTAATTATTGAAGAGGGTGCAGACGGAGAGTGGGGAGCAGCGAGCACTGCTGCCGGTTGGAGGCTGGGTCACAGTTAACCCGTTTCCAAGGCGATGCAAGCTGGTCGGGTCTCAATCATCACAGCAACGTAACGTAGCAACCGGAGCATCCCGTACACGCGCTAAAACAAAACCCCAAATACTAAGATGGCCGCCACAGGAAGTGAGTGACTATTCATGCTACATATCATTTCTTCACTGGATTTATCTGATTACATTAAACATAATTTATTATATTATAAAACTAAAAAGATCTTAAAACCAAACTGTAATTTATCAAAAAAAGTTTACATTTAATGCTTTTAAAATGTATAACCCAAAACGAAACTTTACTTAATTGGATAGTACCACATTGCAGTGTTTTGGATTAAAAAATATGATTAGATATCATCAGATTTATTAGAAAGTCATAGCTATTAATTCTTTTTTAAATATCATTCAAAAATGTATGCAAAGGCACATTTAAATCCTATGTTGAAATACTAAATGGTAACTAACATGTTTTTTGTATGAACTTTTTAAGCATTGTCATATAAAAATATCTGAGCAAGCTACTAATGTTTGGTTTTGGGGTCAGAGCCATTGTCAGTTTTAATCAGTCACATAATAACATGTCCGGCTCAGAGTCAGCTTTAAAATCAGTAAAAATACACATTTTTTCATTATTGTTTTCCAGTAAAAGCGGAGTACAGCCAAATTTAAAGAGAGGGGTTTAAAGCATTAAACGCATACATTAACACACTTAATCCTTATCTTCCTCATTTTGGCTTGCAGGGATTTTAACCCCTTGACCTCTTCCTGTTGAGAGAGGCGGTGCAGCCATTAGACAGATCTGGCCGTTCCATTACATCACCAGATTTCTTTAAACCATCTTCCTAACATGTTTATCTAGATGATATTTGAAGGTATTTCACCTCAGTGTGTTGTTGTTGACAGACAAGGTTGTATGAAGCTGAGAACTGCATTAAACACTGAGTGGAGCATATTGAGTGAAAACATGTGTTTCTATTAAATGTGTATACAGTTGAGAGCTATTGATTGATATGATTGTGATGACAGAAACCTGCAGAGATCCTAACCCCAACCCCAACCCCAACCCTAGCCCTAACCCTAACTGAGCATGCTTTTGCTTAAAGAAGCATGGAAGTGAAGTACATTTGTCTGCATGGACATTTACTTGTCTTTATCTTTATTAGGATCCCCATTAGCACTAGCATGAGCATTGGCTATTCTTCCTGGGGTCCTCACACACTCAAAACATACATAAACATACATACAACAAAAACAGCTCATAATTTCATGCAATTTACAGTGAAATGAAGTGAAAACTAAAATGGTCATCAATTATCGCCATCCTAAGGCCAAACAAAAGTGAATACAAATAAGTGTACATAATAATATATGCATACATAGCCACAGTTCAAATTTACTTTGTAATACTTAAATAATTTTTTAGCAACCTTTTGAAATGTACTTGAGAATGTTCCTGAATGAACCGGTAAAGAGTTCCAGCTGATCATGGCTCTGGACTGTTCTCTGTCCCATATTTGATTTAGCTTTGGGTAATACAAACCTTCCTTCTACTGTATGTCGTGTTTGATAGTTATGTTGTGCATATTGCGCAATAAACCTTTGTGATAATATATCTGTCACGCGAAGGCTTTTAACAACAACATACTTTAAAATCGAATCAAAGTGGCCAAAAACATGAAAAGAAAATGATGGAAAACAATGAAACAACAAATGCAAACCGAACCCTCAGTGTCCTACAGATGGGACACAGTCGGTCAGCAGGAAAGCTGTTTTTATCATCTGATATAAATTTGTGCATCCATTTTCTGCATAGCTTAATCACAGTGCACCAGTTTAAAACACTTTACTTCTGTTTGATCGCAGTTCAAATTCACTGAGAGTCAAATTCAAGCTGATGTTCAAAATATCTTCGGGGAAAAGAGCAATGTTACATCAATAAATAGAAGCCAGAGGATGCAGAGCGCTTGATGCCATTAACTCTCCAGAGATGTTACGGCTTCAGAGGTTGTTCCAAGAGCCTGACAGTGTAAATCAAGCCAATCTAAACCGGTTCAAAAGGGGCGGACGGATCCTCTCAACATCTGATTCCGATCCCGTTCAGTCTTGTGAACCATCAAAATGTTAATAGGGATTAAAGTATGGGCCTCCTGTGTGAATTGACTCAATACAATACCTCTATATAATACCCTTTTTCATCGGGCTGCCTATGACCAGGAAACAATGAATGTATGAAAGCAGAAAACATACAACTACAATGGTGGACAGGACATGCCACCTACCGATGATTGAGCTATTTTTGGTGTCTTTCCAACGGCAAAAGTAACGTTTTGTCCTCAGAGGATAGACCTTTGACATTTACTTAATATTAATTGGACTGGATTTCATTAAAAAGTTACATTCCCAGTGCAATTACCCTTAACGTGGTACAAAAACCGTTAGAGTTCTTTATCCTATCTTATTCGTCCAATACCTATCATTTGAATGGAAGCTTTCAGTCATATAGAATGGCACCAATGTATGTCTCTCCTTTAACACAAAACACAAATAATGTGTTTCCGTCACAGGTGTGAACTATTAGCTATACTTTTGAAAGCCCTGGTGGCCATTTGGCACGCTGAAATGCCAACTCTGTGATAAGCCTTCACCACAGACTGAATTGGTTGTAGTTCTAGGGTTGTGGGCCAATCAAACGTCACATTAAATGGTCTGGGTACAAACAGGCTCAAAATGTAGCTTTTGTTTGACTGAAGGAGTGTCAAGACTTTGCAGAGTGCAGTTGATTCCTATAAGGTATCGAGTACCGATGGTGGAACTCGCCAACTATATTACATCCCCTCGAAACCACACACGTGGTGCAACAAACAGCATTTACAAATCATACTTGGACTGCTTTCCCTTATCTATTATTAATAAATCAGATATTAATTCCCCGTCTCAGCCTGAACCTCTGACCCCGCAAGAACCACCACAGAAGAAGAAACCGTTTTCGAGCAGCAGTGTGGGACGCAGTAAGAGGCTGTAAGAGCCTCTAATAGCGAACATATGGAAGCTCGCTGGTTGCCAGCAACACAATCAGGACTACATTATTTGGCCCACACTGGAATAATAAAGGAGCGAGATCAAAGAGCTGATTACTTCAGCACTGCGGAGTTGCAGGACTCTTTCTGTTTGTTCTTTCTTTATGTCGTTCCTTTATTTCACTTTGTTGTCTTTGACTCATTCTTTCTTTCTTCCTCTTTTTCTGTCTTTCCTTTTTATTCTTTTTCTAAGACCAGGTATAGCCCCCCTATTTTGAATGGGCACCAAGTGGAAGCTGGGTAGCATCTATCACCATGTCTATTGATGTGTGTGCGTGTGTGTGTGTGTGTGTTGTGTGTGTGTGCGTGTGCGTGTGTGTGTGTGTGTGTGTGTGTGTGTGTGTGTGTGTGTGTGTGTGAGAGAAAGAGTGGTGATGCTGCTGGCTGGAGATGCATTTGAGTACAAACAGCGGCATAAAACAAATCTAGATGGATAGAGAGTGAAAGCTTTTCATAGATAGATATGAAGAAAGGGCTTTGTGATTTCACAACGAGCAAAACACAGATCAAAATACAGAATTTCATAATAAAAATGTAGTCGACGAAGGTTTTGGAAATCGCCAAATGTGGATGCAATTTACAAACATGGAAGCCTTGCACACATGGGACCTGGTCACTAAGAGTGGTATATTTGTTTTATAACAGTAGTGTAGTAAATTCTGGATAGAAAATAGTGCAATATTGTGTACAATCAAAATATATTGGTATTCATTCCATATATTTTAAATATTTTCTTATTCAACTGAAATTGTATTTATCCAACAACACTGATGACAATTGTGACACACATAATTC